CCCCCCCCCCCCCCCCCCGGGAAAGCATCACCCAACCTTTGAACCACCAGCCCCAGAAGTTCTGGGATTTCCTTGGCAATACTGTATGTGCTCAGATTTTGCCTATTGATGACAGGGGCGTTCACGTTTTTAAATTTTTAGAGCGCAATGTAATTTACAACGTGCCAAAGTCGACACGTTTCAATAATAAAATAAAATAACTTTTATTTTCGGACCCTATGATACAAATTAGCTAATATTTTCTTTTAAAAGGGCCTTAAAATAATGCATGTCATAGTAAGAAAAAGACCAATTTATGATGATGTTTCTTCGAAACAAGGTTGTACATACGTGTAGCTTTGTGTGCATGCAGTGACAAAATTATTGAGGTAAAGCCAGTGAAAAGGTTTGCACATTGTTAGTGATCAAGTGAGATAACTGAAATTAACGCCATTAGCCTAGTGTACTCACAGTATGCTTCATTTACAAGATAATGTAAATATTTATTGAGCCAACTTTATTTCTCAGATACCTAGTTGATAGTGCCGAGGATGGTCCCCTTGTGTCCATGCCTTTCCGACAGTTTATCTATAGTCTAGGTTCCAGATCGTCGGCTCCTGGAGGGGGATCTGCTTCTGCTGCCATAGGGGCCATGGTAAGCTAAATAAAACAATTGATTGGCGGGGAATGAAAACACTGTGCGCCAGTATACAGTTATTGAGTTTTAGATTGCTGAAGTACATATTACGGAAGGGACTTTGTTTCTTATTTTTTATCAAGAAATGGCCTGAAAAAGCTTTGTTGTCTCGTGTTTAGCAATGTCCTTGACAAAACCTGTGTACGGGGCATCGCCAGTTTCTCATAGATGAGATTATCTCAAAGAGAAATTTAAAGGAACTCAGTGGCGGTATTTTGAGTTATTGTGGCCGCATGCTAAATTACGTTAAATTGAAGAAAACCCGGCTGAAGAGAGTAGTTTACTAAGATGGAGAAACAGCAAAGAAATGATAATAAACCATAAAGGAACAGGGATGGTTAAGGATGGAGAAAATTGACACGGATTAAAAAATTTTGACAAACTTAAGCTAAACTTTTGAAAATGCGCAAACTGTGACATAGGTCTTTAAGTGTAACCCGTAGAGGAAAAAGCATGATGAAGGTTCAAGACTTCCCATGACTTCAACACTATATTTTGCTGGTACTAGCGCAATATGAAGGCCAAAAAGTCTAACGTGAGTTATACTTCACAGTGATCATCTAACCAAATTCTCCCATGAAAAATCGTAACAATTACATGGCATTGAGTCAGGAGAGTTTGGTTCCCGATCTTGTGTATTTCCACCGCAGGGGGTTGCTCTTGCTGCCATGGTTGGTTGGCTTACGTACGGGAACAAGAAGTTCGAAGCACTCGATTCACAGATGAGAAAACTTATTCCACCTCTGAGACAAGCTATGTTGGATTTTATTCCAATGGTTGATGCAGACACTAACGCGTTCAGTGGATTCATGGTAAGTCTGTTATTGATATCTCGACGCGCTCATCAGCAGAATTTTTATTTGCGTATTTATGACAAAGTTTTGAACGTTTCAGGAAGCCAAGAAACTTCCTAAAACTACACCCGAGGAACAAGAGATGTAAGTTTGACTTACTTACATAACGTTCGAAACATTCTGCATTTTGTGTCATATTCATGTTCGGAGATAAAGTAGCAACTCAGTTCTTCTCAAGATTTTTGATCTTTGATTTTTTCCTTAATGTAGGACTAATAGATTCAATACAGAATGTGATTACTTGCCTTCGAACTACAATGAAGTAGCTAGTTTTCAGTCGTGCCACTAACAAACATGATATTGTTATANCCTCCTATTGTTGCCCCCTCAGTTACATGAAAGATATTAACAAATTGTAATGTAAGATATTATTGTAATGTAATGTATTAATGTAATGTTAGTATTGTAAGTTTTGTTATTATCGTTAAATTGTAAGTTACGTTGACATTGTAAGTAGTAAGTAAATTTTGTATGTAATGTTATGTGAGATATTGTAATAATAAAAAAAATACTTGTGAACAGGCTGCAAGGGCGTGCCCAGTCTGGTGACGAAGTTTCTTCTATAGCTCATTAATATAGCTCATAAATCTACTAGCGTTCTATCACGAATGCCGTTCTCTGATTGGCTTCGCTGCTCACTATCTCTTGTGTTGTAAATAGTGAGAAGACTGAGAGCGTGCGGCTGTTAACGCGGACGCGACTGTTGGACGTAACCCTAAAGCAGATCTAACTTGCATGAGTGACCGTTTTGTTTTTCACTTTACAGGTTGGCGCGCGTAGTCTGGAGACGGCCGTGTGGGGCGCTTTTTACAACGTGAAGATCAACCTTCCAGACATAACTGACGAGGCGTATAAAAAACAGGTCTGTAAGTCATCGCTCATTTGAAGTCGTCAGCGTCTAATATCCCCTTGTGATAGCAATAAGTCTCAAAGACAGACAAGTAAGGAGAATACACAACAAAATCAAGATCTCCCCTGTGAAAGCAGCTGTAGGTGATTTAATCTAGGTTTGGAATTGAACGCGAAGTAAAGTTTTGTTAGACTGGGCTCAACGAAGATTGTAAATTTTACCTGGCTGTGTACGTAGTGATCAAAATGGACTTGATCTGCACGTTGTTAAGGTCCTCGTGAGGAGAATGAACAACCTCAACCCCACCTAGGTGATTTGCGAATCTGCTTAGGGGTAACTCCGTATCTTTCACATCCTTGCCCGTCAGCGAGAGGTGTCCACTAAAGAGGGGTTAAAAGAGACTGTGGTAAAATGTTCCCTTGGTGGACATGAAGATGCTCTTTATGGTACGTTTTTCTTAAGATTTTAGGGACCAAGGACAAAATGTGATAAAGGGCTCGTTGTATTGACGATATATTGAAAACGTCTCTAAAACAACAAACAAACAAATAAACAAAATTCGTCCTAAGCAGGAGCCATAATCGGGGACGGAGACCGTAAGTCT